GCCTGCCGATCGATTAGATCGGCGATCGATTGCTAATGCCTGCCGATCGATTAGATCGGTAATCGATTGCTAATGCCTGCCGATCGATTAATCGGCGATCGATTGCTAATGCCTGTCGATCGATTAGATCGGCGATGGATTGCTAATGCCTGTCGATCGATTAGATCGGCGATCGATTGCTAATGCCTGCCGATCGATTAATCGGCGATCGATTGCTCATGCCTGCCGATCGATTAATCGGCGATCGATTGCTAATGTCTGCCGATCGATTAATCGGCGATCGATTGCTCATGCCTGCCGATCGATTAGATCGGTAATCGATTGCTCATGCCTGCCGATCGATTAATCGATAATCGATTGCTCATGCCTGCCGATCGATTAGATCGATAATCGATTGCTCATGCCTGCGATCGATGAGATCGGTAATCGATTGCTAATGCCTGCAGATCGATTAGATCGGTAATCGATTGCTAATGCCTGCCGATCGATTAATCGACGATCGATTGCTAATGCCTGCCGATCGATTAGATCGGCAATCGATTGCTCATGCCTGCCGATCGATTAGATCGATAATCGATTGTAATGCCTGTGATCGATTAGTTTGATAATCGATTGCTAATGCCTGTGATCGATCAGATCGATAATCGATTCCTAATGCCTGCCGGTCGATTGATCGGCGATTTAACCCCTGATTAAGCGTTAATTGGCACTAATTAGTCGTTAATTGGCTCCTGATTGATCCGATTGACCCCCAAGCAAAGCGTCCAAGTAACCCCCAGTTCACCTACAATTAATCCCCTAATGAAGCCTTAATTAATTCCTGATTAACCCTGGTTTACTCATAATTATCATCAATTTAGCCTTAATTATTCCCTAATTAACCTCTAATTATTTCCTCATTGAGCCTCAATTATCCCCTAATGCATCCCTAATTAAGTAGCTGATGAAGAGAAGAAGAAAGGCTAATTAAGTCCCTGATTAACTTATAAGTAATTCTTAATTTACTGCCTTAATTAGCTCTTAATAAGCTTTCAGTTTTCTTCTAATTAACCCCAATCAATTCCCAGTCAATCTCTAATTAACCCAAATCACTTTCTGATTTATTTTTAATTATCTACCTTCGCCCCTAATTAAACATAATTTATTTATTAATGAC